CAGGAGGAGGACCCGGCGGCAGAGGGACTGCCCCAGTAAAGGTGGGCGAGTCTGGAGAGAATGTGCGAGGGAGGGTGAGGGGTAGGAAATACGCCGGGACAGAGTGTTTAATTTTGATAAATACTTTCTGATTAAGACAATGGCAGTTTTGCAACCCCCATCTGTCCTTCTTCCCAAGCTCACATGAGGATCTTGCATAAAAGGAGCTGTTTTCTTCACCACGGTTCAAACGCCAGCTAGGACTCAGGCCTCATGACACACTGTGTGTTTACTGGGCCCCTTCTCCACCTGGGCTGCGGCACCAGGAGTGGTTCTTAGAGTCTGGCCTCTCAGGCTCTCCAAATAGCCAAGGTGGATTCTACTGGGTTTGGGGCAGAGGCTTAACTGCTAGAATCCCTGAGGGGCAAAGGTCAGAAGAAAGTGCAGTGTGTAGGCATCTACCTGCCTGGGCACCGGTTCCATAACGTTGTATGGGCTGCCCTGGCTAGACCTGCATTTTGTGGAGCTTTTAAAAGAATATACAAAGAGGCAGATGGTAGGAGCTGGCTCCCTTTCTCAATTTTGTTTTGCTTTTCATTACTTTTCCCTCCCTAAATAGGGTCAAAGCTGCTGCATGATTAAACTGTGGCCAGATAAGCATGTTTTTTTCCGTTTTATTAGACAAGGAAAGGAAACTACTATTTATAAAAGTCTAATGTTCACAAGATACATGTCATCATCATAGTCCCCATTTTGCAGATGAGGAAATGAGGGCCAGGAGAGGTAAGGTAATAGTACAAAATGGCTCTAATAACCTACGTAGTGACCTCCCCATCACTGGTCACCTGGCTGAAATTCAAACCCAAGTCTTTCTGGGACTAAAGACCATGCTCTTTTTGTAATGCTTCCTGAAGTTTAGGAGGCAGCATGATACACGAAGTGATGCATTTTATCATCAGATAGACAGAGGTTCAAAGCCAAGCTCTTCCTTATACTGACTAGGTATGTGAACTTGTATGTCTCCCTCCCTTGCTTGCTTGGCAAATCTTTTCTGGATTTTGAAGACTTAGTATAAAAAACTGTTAGGTATTTCATTAATATAATAATTTTATATTGATTACAGGGGAAATGATAAATTGAGCCTCCTGTTCAGCCCCCCTTGAGGATTCCTTAGTTTTTGTGAGATAGTTGTTGCAATCCTGCTTCTCGAGAGGGAGTTTTGTAATCCTTTCCCTAACTTCCCAGCTCAAAACAACAATAACAACAGCAACGAAAATGGAGCTGACATTCAGATAAAATAAATGTTGGTGATTGCCATGGCCCCATAGCCATCTTTGCTCTTCTTTCTAGAAAGAAGTTTTGTAGAAAAAAGTCAAGTGAAATATTTTGAATGAAGTCTAATGTACAATAACTTCATTGGATTGAAAGAGAAGATGAACCATTGAATTAACAATAAGGTCTTTTCTAATCTGATTCATAAAATGGGGGAAGGTCTTAGAAATTGACTGGTCCTGCTCAGATGCCCTGTCCTTGGAAAGTGGAGCTCTGAGCGACCGAGACTCTTGTCTAGGGTGACAGACCAGCCCAGGTGGACGGGGCCGGCACCTGGGCTCTTGACCCCCTCTTCAACAGGCACCCGCCACACCACACTTGGGGCCCCTTTTTTCTGAGATGCTTCCTTCCCAGGTACCCCCCACCCCCAGTTTGGTACTTCATCCTCCTCTGCTTTGTCTCTCTGCCCCAGTGTGTCCCCTTTAGTATAAGTGGTGGCAGACATGGCAGTCAAGAAGATCCAGACAGGTTAAAGGATAGGCAGAAATTAACAAGATAAAATGGAACATTAAAATGAAAAGATTTTGAATAACCACTAATGAATGGAGCTAGGGAAACCTTCTTGGCCTTTAACAGAGCTGCAAGTGAAATGACAACGTGTGTGTTTGGAAGAGAATGGATTTGAACTCACAGCCTCAGGGCTTCAGGCCTGGGCATGTGGCATTGGAAAAAAACCTTAGTTTCTTCATCTTTAATTAACCTCAGCAGACTGTTGTGAAGAGTGAGATCACGTTTCTGAAAGGACTCTGTGATCTGTGAAGCACCATACCCATGGTAGTTATTAGTATTCATCAGGAGCTAGATGTTTGGCTGTGAAAGCAGGATGAATTAGCAGGGTGACAAGTTGCCAAAGAAAGCTAATGTGACATCCAGAGGAAAGGATGTGGCTCTGCACTTGTCCCCCTGTTTCTGGGGCACTGTGCTGCGTTTGGTTCTGGGAATCGCACTTTAAGAGGGACCTTAGCAAACTGTCCTTTTTCCAGAGAAAGTTGCAAGAATAGGTCATGGTCTGAGAGGCATGACATATCAGAGACGACTGAAGGATTTAGAGGATGTTTAGTCTGGAGGGAATAAAAATAATCCTTAGAACAAGGTAGCTGTTTCTAAATATCTAAAAGCTGTCTTGCAGAAGAGAGGTGAGATTTTATTTTGTCTTGCTAGTGGCCAAGTCAGGGCTCAACGATGGGAGTTAATGACAGGCAGATTTGAGTGCAATAGGAGCTGATCTCAGGCTCAGAGAACTGATCCCAAACAGGCTCCTTGGGAAGGTGGTGGTCTGCCCATCAGCAGGTCTTTGAGCAGAGGTGACTGTGCACACACAGGTGCAGTGCAGGGCAGTCGGCCGAGAGGTCAGGCCAACTGTTCTCTGGGATCCCTCCAGTTCAGAGACCCCGGTTATCTGCTCCGATCTCTCTGATCTTTCTCTCTGATCTATTTCCCTCCCCATTTTTCCTGCCTTTGACTTTCCGTTCCCTGTGAATAGCTTTAGGGTTTTAGATTTGGAAATATTTCTGTAATGATTGATAGTCCAGTTTAATGGAAAGTAGGAGGGAAAGAACATTGAAAAACAAAGGCAGTTTTGTTACTTTTAAGGACACACAGTAACCTGTTAGGTTGGGGAAGGAGCAGCACCAAGCCCTGTGTGTCAGAAAGTCTTGTAAATGCTACAGCAAATGGCTTACTCTTTGCTAGTGTTTAAAATGCAAACACAACTGCCAGAGGCCTTTGTTCTTGAATGGCCCAGGATCCTCCTTGTTGAAGCACTGCTTTCCTTAGCTACAGACTTCCAAAAACATTGTTACTGTAAGAATTCTGTATCATAAACTACTTTCTGGATTTATAATGTTAGTGTTTTTGCAAATTTGGTTATATTAAATTTGGTGTGGGAGATTTAAAATTTTTTTCTTGACTGCAGAAAAGCCATTTTCTTGAGGAAAATATTTTTCACGTATAGTTAGTGTCGCTGAAGCTCCCCAGTGGAGTGGGCAGCTGAGCTATTTCCAGTATTTTGTCCTGCCCCTGAGTGGCAATTATGTTTCTGTCTCACAGTGCCCCACCTCAGACATCACAACCTCCATTTCAGAAACCTCCACCTAGACCGAGGCACAAAATAGAACTCAGCAGACCCAGGTGGGAGGGGGAGGGAATGGGTAGGAGTGAGTAACAGTTTGGTTAGGATCCCTGAGGCAGCGTCCTTGCCCAGCCTGGAGGGTGAGAGTAGGGGTGTGGAGAAGACTGAGGGTGTAGTGCCTGGGTTCCAGGGCTTTTGGAACCTAGGCGGTCAATTAAGGCAGGAATTGCTGAAGAGACAACAAAAGTGGCTCTTCACACCCTGGGGACTGGCCAGGCAGGGCAGGAAGGCAGGAGCTGAAAAGGCGGCAGGAGCCTGCAAGCAGCTGCAGAGCACCCGTGGCCTCATCCTCCCAGGGCTGCTGCCCCCTTGCAGGCCCCAGTCCCTGAGGCAGCTGTGTGGAGCCCACACCTCCTTGTCTAGCCCCACCCAGGTGTGACCTTGACTGCTAGGCTCGGGGTGGGGGGTGGGGGGGAAGCATCAGCCTGAGGCCAGATAATAGACTTGTTCCTGGAGTCTAAATTTTGGGGAGAGGGGCCAGCCAACTGTGATGTAAAGTCCACGGCTTCACTTTCCATTTGCTCTTTCATTCCAGACCAGTATCCTCTCCCGGCCTCTTCTGTTTCAGGTTGCTCTTCGACAGGCTCCAGTTTCTGAGCTGTTCTAAAGCTCCAGCTTGACCCTGTCCTCCAGCGTCCCTGCCCTCCGGTGTGGTGCGTGCAGTGGTTCTCAAACTTTTCATGAACATAAAATATCAGACAGCAGGGTCCCACTCTCAGAGATCCTGATTTAGGAGTTCTGAGTGGGGCCTAGGCATCTGGACCTCAGGTGTATCTCCCCAACCCCACCCCAAATATTTTATTTATTTATTTTTGGAGAGAGGGGAAGGGAAGGAGAAAGAGAGGGAGAGATACGAGAGAAAAATATCAGTGGGTTGCTTCTTGCACGCCCCCACCCTCGGGACATGGCCAGCAACCCAGGCATGTGCCCTGACTGGTAATTGAACTGGTGACACTTTGGTTTGTGGGATGATGTCCAATCCACTGAACCACACCGGTCAGGGCTGGACCTCAGATGTTTCCGATGTAAGCAGTCCATGGGTCATGTTTGGAGAAGCACTAGTTTAGAGGAGAGAGCATACATGTTGGAGTATGAGACAGAACTGAGTCACTGATTGTATACCTTGTTGAGCAAGTTAATTATCATGTCTGAGCCTTTGTTTCCTCACCTATAAGATGCTAACTACTTCACAGGCGAGTTTTCAAATGTCAGTGAGAATATATGGACATATATATGTGTATATGTATCTATACAGTGTTTAGCAAGGGCTTATTTACTACGATTTTTGGCCTCCTTTCTCCTTGGTTCAACACTAGGAAAGTGGCAATGGAGAGTTTCAATTCCTCCCAGTTCTGGAATATCAGTGGCACCTCCCTGGCAGTGGGTAACTGTGGAAAGGTTCGGAACAGTCTAGAGGAGCGTGCATGTATTCAGCGCGCTGTGGCAGATCAGACAGTCTGGATCTCTCAAGCAATGGCATGAAAAGAACCCACCAGGAAGTCAGAGGTCAGCCATCTGCTGTCATTTTTATTTGCAGTAAAACTAGTCAGGACAGACATATACACAGTGCATTACAGAACGAGTCCACGGCACTCTATGCAGGCAGATGGGCAGGCTGGAGAAGGCAACCATTACGGAACAACATATCTATGGGTGGGGAGGCAGTGGAGGTGGACGAGCAAAAAGGGAAGGACCCCGGCACTGTGCTAACTAGTTACTGCCTCAGTCTCGGCTGGTAGAGCCTACATTTATGGGCCGCAGTGGAGGTGTGTTACAACCTGTAGCTTCACCTTCTGTCCAGGGTCACCCCCAAACACTGAGGGTTAGCTAAGTTCCCTAAAAGGAAGCAGTGCTTTTCCATTAGTGGGATTGAATTCCCTCCAAACACACTGGCAGTTACAAAGGGTAAAATAGATTTCACACATAGAATGGAAAATGCTCACACTTTAGGAGTTGAGTGTGTGTGTCTGTATTTGTGTATGCAAGTGTGTGTATAGGAGGAGGGCTTATCAAAGAGGTTCCCTGTAGTGTTTCTTTCATGATGGCCTCCACAAAGCCATTGATTTCTGAGCATGATCAGTCCTCAAGAGGGAAGATCGATTCTCAGCAGAAGGGCTGGCAGTAGCCCTCCTAGGTCAGCGGGGTGGGGGAGACCCACGAGAATGAGGACCCTGCCATCTCTCCGATGGACGCAGCATTTGCCCTGGGTGAAAGCAAGGTCACTGAAGTGGGAAGGTCTTTAGAGCCTTCTTGTTTGGTAGATCAAGAAAGAGATCTCACAAGGCTAAAGGACATGCCCAAGGTCACGTGGCTGAGCCAGGCTATAGCCTACTCCTCCTGTTGCTCTTGTTTCCCAGGAAGGTTCCTCCATTCCTCATACCACAAGGGAATGTGGAATGGCTCCCTTCCTCAGCAGCCTCTAGGGAACATTTGTCAGACTCTTCCAAGATAGTGGGGTCTTACTTGTTTTCTTCAGAAAGAAAAGCATCCATAAGAACCCCCTTTGCTGGTGGCTTCTTGGAATTATGATTACTTGCTAGCAATAACAACTTCTCTGAGATATCTGCCGAGCATTGAGGACAACGCTACAGAGAGGCACAAAAGGTTCTTTCTCCCATTCTACGGAAGAGGGCAGCTGTGCCGTTAGCTGGGTCAGCAACTTGCTGTAGGATCCTCTTCTTTTCCGTTCAGTCTCCTGCCTCTTGCTATCTAGGGAAGGAATAAATAAATAAAATGCTGCATGTTTTGAAATCTGCCTCCTTGCGAGGTGACTTAGTCACTAGACACAAAGCCTCTGTCAAGATTGGAAGCTGCCTTGGCCAGTTCCCACAGATCAAAAAGGGCAATATCTGGACTGTCAGGCACTACCCAAGTGTAGACCTGGCCCAAGGGTCTGGGAGAATGGCTTTGGAAGGGAATTCTGTACACGGTGACAAGGGAAACAATGCTGAATGACTACCATTTGTTTTTCAACCACAATGGTCAGAGCGCAGATAATTAGGCTATGCTGGATACCAACGCTGTGTGCAAGGTTAGACCCACCGTCTAAAGAAGGGCCTTTCCGACAAGAGTGGCCTGTGATTCCAGAACTCCCTGCTCAATAGACTTTTCATGTTAATTGAAATAGTTGTATCAGAATTGTGAGTCTGGCTGAGTTACGCTTACTTGTTCTGTTTTGGTTGATTTTACAGAAAGTAAATCCTCTTAACTTCTATGGCCTCTGTCTCTTCTTGGTTTCTGATTCTGCTGTTTGTACATGGAAACTAACTTCCTTATGATCTGGATGTTCAACTATGTCATTTGGGTTAAACTTCCCAATGAAGGTACTTTATGCCTGAGATATGACTCAGAGGTAAAGAAAAAAAAGAGTAGTATTGGACAGAGGGGTTTGAGTTAGACATCATGGATAATTTGTTGAAGAGAGAATTTGTGAGACACTCGAGTGAATCCTGGAACTGGGCTGTGAACAAGGTCCTCTGATCTTTCTTGGACCTTTTAAGCACAGACTTGCCTCGAGATAACAAAGTGGGCAGATGTTCCCTTAAGATCCCTTAATGCTCTAATTTTATGTGTGAACACTCTAAAAATAGAATCATAGGGGGCAGGGAGAGAACCATCATGAGAATAAAAGGAGAAAAAGTGAAAGAAGCAGGCACCGTGGTGGGTGGAGGCTGAGAAGAGCAGCTGCGATGGGAAAAGATGGAGAAGTAAGAGGACTGCATTGAACCATGTGCATTTAGGGGACAGTGCCTGGTAAACAGACATTATTTAACAACAAAATACTTACTACTGAGTAAATAATAGTTGCATTAATCATCTTCTCCAGCCCCATTTTACATGTAGGAAAACTGAGATATAGTATGACTTGCCTGAGTGTCTGTTGCTAATTGGTGTTAGGATGGGAAGCAGAGCTGGCCCCACGGGAGAAGCCGTGCAGGGCTGAGCAGAGGGTGAGGAGTGCACTTTCCGACCTGATGCTGTGCAGGCAGGAAGTGCCCCTGGGTCTCGGTCTGTGAAGCTCAGGAAGGACAGTGAGAACAGGCACAGACTCACACCCCGATCTTCACTGGCGCTGGCTCCAGCTGCCCAGGTCTGGAGTGACTGAGGCAGCGGAGAAGAGCCTTACTGCAGAGGGCCTTGTGGGGCCTCCCATCACCCCAGTGGATGGAGGAAAACCAAATCCTCACCTGCAACCTTCCCTCTCCTCTTGAGAGCCTGGCCCTCCCTCATTTCCTCTGTCTTTTCACTTCTTTTCAGTTTCCTGAGTACAGTCCCCAAAAGTTTCTTTCTGCCTTCAAGAAAATGGAGGCTGGAAAGGCAGGATCGACTTCCTGCAGATGACCTGCCTTTACTTTTCCTTTGGAAGGAAGATGGGAATTTTCGTCTGTTTCATCTTTCTCTGCCCTAGACCCTGTTCACAAATATCTCAGAAGGCACATTTGAGCTGGAGTCCTCCGAAATATCAAGGAGGCTTCTGTCCTCGGGTCCCATTTTATTTCTCTCATTGCTCCTCTGGGGTGATCCAAAGAGCTGAGACAAGGGGCAGTGCCATTATAAAGGGGGCTCAACATGTGCAAGTGAATTTGGTCTTTTGAAGGCTTATTTTCTCCCATCAGGAAGCTGTGCTAGGTTGAATCACTGGGATTTAGGAGGGAATGCTGTGCTTTCTCGACTCCCTGCTACAAATGACTAAGGCACAGCAGTACAAGTGAGCCTCTCTGTTCCGAGGGGGTAGAGAAAAGAGAAATCTTATTGCCCAGGCAAGGCAATGTGAGTGTACTGAGCCCCGGCCGCCATCCATCTCCCTGGAAGGGCTGCCAGCAGCTCTTACATAAGCTCCAGTGAGCTCATGTGTTTTCACGCCCATCAGCAGATCCTGGGCTTCAGGGCCAAGGGTTAGGCTGGAGGAGGGAGCTCAGAAGAGATTGTGCTCTTCCAAAGAGGGGGCGCTTTGGGAAGAAAACAAGTTCCTACTCTCAGGATGGTGAAAACAATTTTCATTTCCATGTTAATTAACAAAGACGTTCATCCTCATGGCAGCAACGTCAAGAAGGGGAGGGTGATGCGTGATCTTATGATGCCATGCTGTGGGGGAAGGGAGGCTGGGGTGGGGTATTTAATGAGTCAGGGTATGCAGATGTGCACTGGGAAACATGGTTAAGAAAGCTTTTCCTCCTTATGTGTGGGAAGCCAGATGGGTGCTCAGATCTGCCAGCCACAGGCTGGGAATCAGGCCATGGTTTCCATTTGTTGCCATCAGCTAGGTTGTTCTTGAACAGAAGACAGGTTGAATATTCTGGAAACTGCAGTCACTCATTTACCTGCTTCCCTTTTGTTTGGCAGAATCACCGAGTCAGCAGAATTTGCAAGCAAACCAACCGACACCTTGCCCTCTGTCTTGTCCAGAACATCTGCAGTCAGCTTGCCCTGGCCACAGCAGCTAAACACAGAACAAGTGCAACGATACCTGCCTCCCTAATACTTTGCCTATTGAAAATAAAATCTCACCCCGCGTAAGTGAGCCAGACGTTCTCCCGGGGGTTGACACACTTCCAGTTCTATTACGCCCTAGTGGAGGAGAGGATCTGTGTGCACATCTCAGCAGCCCACCCCTCCCTCAGTCTAGTTTCATATTCTTCACATATGGGGGCAACAGTGATAACGATCTTTTATATGATTAAATGAACACACAGATATGAGGTTTCACTGTTTGGCCTGCCCCAAATAACACTGTTTCCAGTCTTTTTGTAACTGCTAATGCTTTAAACGATTTTTATTTCAAAAATAACATGCATCGTTCAGGTAAATTTCTAACTCCTTCAAGTGCTTTGCATTTTCTGGCAACATTAGTGCTTGTAGCACTTCCCAACTTAGTGTCTTTTGAGAATTTAGTCAACGTGCTGTTTATCTTCCTCTTTCCAGATCAATCAGGAACATTTTGAATATTTTGAATACAGCCAAACCTTCCTTAGGTTCCTCTTTCTTTTATAAATGATTCAGTCGGTTGAGAAATGACTGAGCTCATGTATACACAACACGCTGAAATCCCTCTCCAGAAACATGGAGGGCACACACACACTTTAACTCTTTAGAGAGGGTCCCCCATAATGATGGACGTGTGATATTTTGGTGTGAGACGCATGTCATGGCATCTGTAATTCATGTCAAAATATTTTGGTGAAAGAAAAGATAAAACAAATATGGCAAAATGATAACACATTATACTCATGGCTCTAGCTTTCCGTATGTTTAAACATTTTCATAATAAAAAAATTATTCCCAGATGTTCTAATTCCAGGAAGTATATTTAACTGGGGAGTGGGGGATGGGAAGCTTTAAAAGGCTGACAGAGAGGGGATGGGAGGTGGAAATTGCTTAATCCTCTTAGGTTTATTATTATTACCTTAATGCCTGATAATAGCAGAGTCTGATGATAGCAAACCCTAAATAACAATTCAGTGACACCCTCTATTATTAAAACCCTCCATGAATGTTCGGTTCTCTAAGCTAAAAAATCTAGTTCTTAATCCTTTTACCTCAAGAATGTTGGGGAGAGAGGAAATATTCACCAGTAATTTTCTTCTTTTCTTGAAGATCATGCCATTTTCTGGTAACCAATTGGTACCAGTTTTCTTTTTTAAAAAAAGGACAAAAAATAAATTCATTCATAACTTTGAAAATACTGTTGTCTCATCCTTCAGCAGAAAATGCTACTTTTCTGGACTTTTCTGGACTGACACTTATATTGTGAGGTTTATAAATTCCTTTCCTTTTGAACTAAAGTAAAAAGAAATGACCATTTTATTATCCCTCATCTTGTAATTCTTAGTAAGATTTCATTAAAAAAAACTTTTTTGGAAAGGAAAAAGTTCATTTTTTTTTTGCATTATGTTAGAAGCAGTCTTATTACCCCAGATTATGATTGATCTAACAGATTTTTAAAAGGGCACTTTGAATTTCCATTCCATCTTTAGATACCAGTTACTAAATTGGATGTGTGACTACCTGACCTCATTTCACTGCTCCTGATCTTTAACATAGTCTGTGTATCTTTTAATGTGACCTTTTATATTATGTGAATACTCTGGTCTGGTAGAGTTCGTCAGCAGGTGTCTATTGCTGGCCGTCTATTCTCTGGGTAATGTCTTAGGATATGGCCAAGCCGGTGCCTTGGAGAGAAGACTTAATACAAAGGGGGGTAAACTGTGCGTGCGCCTTCTGCTGCCCGGATCTGCTCCTCCTCAGCGTACCTGTATGTGCGGATGAATGGTATTTGCCACTTCTGCTCTGTGGAAGGAGAGAGTCTTGGATTTTCAGTCTGAAGGGGAACTAAGTCGTGTACAGGGGGCTGGTTTGGGTAAATCCCCGTCACCGTACTTGCAGCTCAGAGGAATCGGTGATGGCACTGCATGCATGAACATGGACTTTGAAGGCTGATGGTGACAGATCTAAATCCTGGATCGGCTGCCTGAGGTTGGCCCTGGTTCTGTTTCCTCATTTGTCAGAAGGGGAACCACGCAGCAACAACTTCATCAGGTTCTTGTGAAGTTTAGACGTGCTCATAAAAGTAATAATAGTCTTTGGACTGGACAATAAATCACAGTTGTTATTTAGTAATAATTTCATCAATGCCTGGGCATTTTCATTTTACCATTAACTCAACTTTAAGCTTAAAAAATAGTTTTCTCAGTCCTTTCTACCATTTTTGGACCAGAGTGTCCATCCTCATCTCCCTTGCCCAAATAAACCTGCTAAAAAAAATCCAGTTTTCTATCTCTTTTCATCTCACGAGTCTGTATCTTATTATTCGGATCTTACTATGTTGTAGCTCCGCCTCCGTGCTGTTTTTTATTCTTTGTCAATTCTGACTTGATCTCTAAGAAGTAGAATGCAAACATTTCTGTCTTTCTGTCCAAGTTGAATTTCATATTTTCTGAATCATGAAGCTGCCCTCCATGTGACCTAGAAAGCCCTTTGATGATCCATATTTAGCTGTATCCATCACTCAACAGATGTCTGGGTAGTTAAAGGCCCCCATGAGCTCCCTCTACATCCTGTGGTTTCAAGTTCCTGACTTGTTAGTTAAAAAGCTTTCATCTCCACTCCCCCCACCCCCCTCCCTTTATCCATTCCAGGGTAGAAGGACAGATACCCACTATATTCACTGTAACTATTACTTCATTGAACAAATATTTACTTATTACCTACTACACATTAGATTCTGGGTTTGATGTTATCCTCTTTACTTCCAAATTGCATTTTCCTGATTTGACCTCTTTAGAGTAGTCCTCCACGTTTTCTGATTACTTCTCTAGAAGCTGCATTGAGCATCCAATTAAATGGTGTCTTCTATTTGCAGTGTATCCTGACCCCTGGGAGACTTAAAGGCTTAATTGCAAACTCTGAGGCCTTGCTGTAGTGCACCTGCCACTGCATCCACAAATTTCAGGATAACATAGGTTTACTGTGGGTTCTACCTAAGGGAGTTTAGTTCGCAGGAAAGGCTGCAGGGCTCTGCTTGCCATCCTGCACCGTGGATGTAAAGAATGAAGTGATAGCTACAGTGGAATCCTGTAAGTTAAGCAGCTAATTTCCAAAAACCTTTGGTTTTGTGTCTGGTTTCCCACAGAGATGCCCATGAGGAAAATTCCTCTCTGTTTTTTGAGCTTTCTGGATCTTCCCATTAGATAGCATCTCTTGGCATCTGAAAGGCCGCCTGCCATTCTGTTCTCCTGTGGAACACAGATGGCCCAGCCCACGCCTATCACTAATGAGGATCACATGCAAACCCTTCTTGCTGGAGGCTCCCTTTCCCAACCCTCACCCTCCTTCCCCAAGCAGGCCAATCACTGCTGACCATGGCATTTAAGTCTGAGAAGGGTGCTTGCTGCTCTCCCACTCATGGAGTTAAATAGAAAATCTATTATGTCGGCCTTGGGAAATGAGTCCCATTCAGCTAACATCTGAAACATTGATTAAGGGATGGCTGCCAATTTGATTGCAGGAGTGAGGTACTGGGTTCCAGCTGTCCATGGAGGTTGTTGAGTTCAAATGTGGACAAGCACTGGAAATTCTTAAGTAGGAACATGATTAGATGGCTACACAGGGGTTGACCAGATAAGAGATCAATCACTCAGGATGATAGTAGGGGGCGGGGATCACTATTTAAGAATGTTAAAGGCACTAACATATAGTAGAAAAGCACACATTTTGATGTGAGATAGATCCATGTCCAGTCCCAGCTGTATCACTTTCTATCTGTCTGACCTTGGACAAAGTACTTCACCTCTCCATATACTAATTCCTTAGCTGTGAAACAAGTACAGTGGCTACATCATAGGCTACTCTAAGGATTAAATGGGACAGCACATGAAAAGACCTAGACAAGATGCCTTCCAACCAATAAATAATAAGTGGGAATTCCCTTTGCTATCTCCCCTTCCTGTTTTCTCTTTGTAGCGGAAAGTTAACGATGCACTCCAATGTGGTGGACTGTCCAGTGAGCTAACAGTGATGGCTCCATGTGAAATTCTGTACAGGCCTGTTTCTCTTTCTCTCTCTTTTTATCTGAAACTTGATTGATATTTGAGATGTGGGATAGTTTATTTTTTATTGTTGCTGCAAGTCAGATGCAGGTCTGGTATTTATGACTAGGAGAAGAATTCCAAACTACTAATGTGGACCCTGATAAAATGCAAAATTTCTTTTGTTCTTTCTTAATACATAAACTCATGCTTTTAATTCTTACAGCTACCAAGGAGAGATCACTACCACTGGCTCCCCTTGAGGGTACCAATAAGTCCGATCAGTCCTCCCATGTGTAAATGTGGTCTAACTGGTCCAGAAAGCTCTCTGGGAGTCGTTTTTCACCCTTTCAGACAAGAGACACAGAGGTATGTTGTCCAAGAGGAAGTAGTAAACCTACTGATTTAACATTAACACCTACAAAAATACTTCAACAGCTTTTTGGACAAGGTAGATCAACCACTGCTTGTTTCCCACCCAACTGGGTCAAGGCTTTCCCTGTAAGAGATGGTGGCTATTCATTCCCCCACAAGGCAGCACTTTCCTTTTAGGTCAGGTCTAAGAGCAGTCATTAAATTGAATAAAAATAGATCTCTTTACAACTGTGCTCTTTAAACCTAGTTCTGTTCTGTGGAGCCACATAGAAGAAGTCTGACCCCTGGCAGCTCTCATGTTTTCTCCTAAATTTCCCCCTAATCCCTTCCCCACTCAGGGGACAGAGTCTTTGATTCTTGCTCGAAGACATAGAGAACAATTGGAACATGGAAACAATAAAAGTAGTCAAACAATCATCCCTGTGTGGCTCAGTGGATTGAATGCCAGCCTGTGAACCGAAAGGTCACAGGTTTGATTCCTGGTCAGGGGACATGAGAGGCAACCTGTTGATATATCTCTCAGATATTGATGTTTTTCTCTTTCTCCTTCCCTTCCCCTCTCTAAAAATAAATAACTAAAATCTTTTTAAAAAGTAGTTAATCACATAGAAGAAATAAGAAAGAGTATCTTAAGAATGAAGACTTCTCATCCTAGAAAAGTGCTTTTTGGAATGTTATTGCAGAGGATGGCTATTGCATGTTCCCATCTTTCCTGAAAACAAAAAGAAGTGGCGGGCATAAGCCAGTGTTTCTAACCTGTCATTGTTGGCAGACAGATAAAGGCCTCTCTGGCTCTTTACTGTGAGTTCTTCGAGTTAAGCCTCTTTATGCAACTCCTCGAAGGAGATCTAGTACTTGACCACAGGCCTCTTTTTTTTCATGGGACATTTCATGGTTACTAGTATTCTGTGAAACACCTTTTAAATAAACATGGCTTCAGATATGCTGTTTGAAATAACTTCCTGACAGATTAATTAGCGTTGGGTCCTGGAACTGGTGGCGAAGAAACACTCCGAAGTTTCCTTGCTTGGAGGGTCGGCAGGCTCTTCCCCCCTCCCTCCCGTTCTCCCCTCCTTTCTTCCTTTAACATTAGCACGAAGCACCCGCCTGCCTGCAAGTGCTGAGGAGTAGGCCTGTGACAGGGGATCTGGGAGTCTAGATCCTTCCCATCCCATGATTCTATTTTTATGGATCCCAATTTGTGGTAGTGTTCCACAGAAGGTACTAGCTGGGACAGGAGGTAACTGAGAGTTTTGGCCAGCAGGAAAGGGGGATAGAGATGGGAAAAGTTGATGCAATTATTTTTGGCAGGAGCTGAAACCAAAGCAGCAGGAGAGAGTAAGTTTTAAGACTCTGGCAAAGAAACTTCCTAATCTGTCACTGAGTATGTGTAAAAAAGTGATTAGTGTGTCTCTATATTTATCATGATTACTCACAAATATGCAATTTACATAATATATACAGCACATTAAGTACTATGTTACCTTATATAATGTGCATATGTATAATGTATATGTATGTTATGTAACGCCAGTCTGGAGGTTCTTCCAGGTTCTGCCAAGTATTTCCTAATTTATTTGGCAATTTTCACATATCTTTTCCATCTGTGGAAAGAACTCTTTTGAGAGGGGCTGGTCTCTAATCTGAAATATAATCATCCTACTAAGTCTATCTTAATTCTCAACTCAGTGGAGGAAACCCACAAAGACCAAGCTTTAATGAGGCACAACTCCTAGCCCATTAGTCCAGGGACGACACAATGTGTCAAAGATTTCCTGTTTTATTCTTTTTATTGCCAGTGGGGTAGAAGCACGGGGGCAGGTGAGAACATGTCTGTGGCATGGCCAGAATCAAAATAAGATGAGGAATCAGGACTGGATTCTCCCCTGACTGCCTGTGTGATTTTGAGAAGTTACTAAACCTCCATAAGCCTTGCTTTCCTCATTGTCAAGATTGGGATGATAATAATACCTTCTCTGCCAAACTCAGAGGTTTCTGTGAGGTCCATTCTGATGAGTTACTCTCTAGTAAGAAACCACAGTCACCGTACGTAAGGGATGAATTGCAAGGTGAGAATAAACAACAACACTAGACTTACTGAAATTACCAAATTGGAAGTGCAATTCCACCCACATTTGTTATACTCTGACTCTAAGAAAGACTTAGGACATGTCTCTTAAGCAACATTGTAAGTTCCATGCACTAGAGTAGAGGGGGCAGAGGGCCAGTCTCTGACTTGTGAATCTTTGAGAATCAGTTTCATCTGTTTGTAGTGCTGAGTCTTAACAGCCTCAGTGTTGGGGGATCAGGGCAGAAACACATGCAAAACTTCCGTAAGTGCCATACAGTAAGTGACCCTAAACCTAAACCTCTGTCTGTTTCAGAACCAAGTGGCTTCCAAGATAGTACCTGTTGTCATTCTGGAGCTTGGTCCCATCATCATGGATCCCATCACTCAGGAGATTCTTCGGGCGGCCCGGTTTTCTCCTTGCTGAGTGTTCTGCACTGTTAGGTTCAGCAGGATGGTCCTTGATGTCTGTCCTACATGGTCCTAGAAGACTGCTTCCTTCACAATTAGAATCAATTTGTACACACAATCTTAATTTTCTCTTCCTTGTGCAAAGCTCCTGACCCAGTGCAAGGAGGTTAGAGGAAGCTCAGTGGGGCAGTGTCCAGTGGGTCCAGGTTTCCCCTTGAGAAATCTCAGAGAGTGTGGAGGCCTGGGGGAGCAAAAGTGCTGAAGCAAATGTTTCTTTTACCAAAGAAGTTTCATAGGCACTGGCCCTCGGGAGAGGAAGGCAATGCCACCACCTGCTGAATGAAGCCCACTGAACTCTGCCGAGACCCCTCTGGGTACTGGCTGGAAGTACCTTGCAGAAGGTACCTCAGTCCTTTTGTGACTCTCCACTGAGGTTATCCCAGCAGCCAGGGTTGTTTCCATACTGAGAGACTCTGATGACCACAATGAAGTGATAAGTGGAGAATTTGATGATCTGTTCAGGGCCTTCAACCCCAGACCAACTTCTTACCAGTTCGGGCCGGAGAGAATCTCTGGGGAGCCTCGTGAGGCCTCATTTTCTCACGTGGGCTTGTCCCGTCCACACATGTGCTGCACATTCGTTCTCCCCTGGCAACCTGGATCCAAGTGGAGTCATTCTCAGCGACCAGAAATGACCCTATTCCAAGGAGTGTGGGTTATTTTCTCTACTGAATGTCTTAGGTGGCACCTGTTCCCAAACCCCATTAGCCAAGATACCGTGGACAAGTCTCTTAACTGTCCTAAGACTCAGTTTCCTTATCTGACAAATGGGAGAATAAATCCTGCCCAGTATCTATTTCATGGTTGTTCAGAGGATCCGGAACAGAAACTCTCAGTCTCTCTGTGACACAAAGTTACTTTCATTTTCCTTAAATCTCACAGCCACCGTGGGACAATGTGTCTTGACATGGAAATGGTGGAATGAGGGAGTAAAAACCTTCTTTATCTTTCCCATTTTCTGTTCTTATACTACATATTTTGTTTTCAATCGGGGAAAGTCCATTAGTAAATAAATACTTATATTTATAAATATATATGCTACACATATGTACACGCACAGAAGACGGTCATCAGCAGGGGCTTCAGGCCATACATACTCTGGGAGTGCTAGGTGCAAAGAGGTGGGGGGCGGGGAGGACCCTCCCAGTGCTTTGTCTGCTGGTCTCCTCAGCAAACGGCCCTTCCCTCCTGACTCCCTCCCTGCCTTCAGGAACACACTGCCACCAGGGTTTGCAACTCAAACAGGAAACACGCTTTGGCTTGAAAAAGAAAGAAGCTGGGGGTGGTTTTTTTTCTTCCCTTTTTTACACAATATTATGACACCAATTTGAAAAATAAATCCCAGTTTCTCTGCTTTCCCTCCCAGGTGTTCACAGAACTAAGAAAATAAATACCACATTTAAGGTGTCCTGTGCAGGCAGCTCTGGGGGCTCTTGGAGCCGTCTCTAAACAAACACAGCCACCAGGAGAAGGAGAAGGCTTCAGGAAATAACAAGTGCCCACGGACAGTGCAGGGAACCAAGAATGGAAGCACAGCTTTCCACAGCCTTTCTGCCTCCTCAGCAGGTTCAGAGAGAAGCTGTCGCTCGAAGGACAACCAAGAAACCAACGTGCACTGGCCGGGCTCTGCCAAGGGTTATGTTCTGAGTGTCGGAGACTGTTTGTCTCGTTACAGAGGGACCTTTGTGTAAGTTGTCTGGAATGGGAGCTCATTCCCTTGGCCACATCCGATCTCACCACCAGCAGGAAACCTGCAGCCTGCTCCTTGCGAGTGTCCATGAGGAAACTTATAGCACTGGTGGGAAGAAAGGGGGGTTTCTCCTTCAATCTCAGAAAGTCTCACGCAAGGCCTTCTGGGAGTGGGGAGGTTGCTGCATGAGCTAACCTTCATTCAGAATGTACTGCAGGACACGGGCCCTACATCCATTCGAAATGTTTTGTTGTCACTGGCTCTGTTGGGGTATGTCCATCGTTGAAATCGAGAGAATGTTGGCAGGGTGAAGGTTTCCTCCCAAAGAGTGGCTTCATTTCCACTGGTTAGAGAGGAGAGTGTGTATATTTGTATGTTTGTGTGTGTGTTACAGTTTCTTGTTTTCTCTCTTCGTTTAACTGGCAATTGGCACACTGTTTAGTCTTTTGAACGGCTCTTCCTCCTCAGCGAAAAGAAGCTGCTCTTCTGGGGAGGTCCCATCATCATGGGTGCTTGGTTCTTATGAGTAATTTTAATCTAAAAGCAAAGAGGCAGAAATGAATTAGTGGTGCACAAAGCCCAGTAGCCTGTGGAAGAATGAGTCTCAGAGAGGAAGGAAGGCCAACTTCGGGTTGGAAGGAGCCCCGTGCAGAAGGACGAATGTCCTTGAACAACTTCAGAATTGGCAGCTGGACCCTGAGTAGGCCTGCAGTTTGGCACTGCTGGAAGTGAGGGGCGGAAACACTGGGGACAGACAGGTGTGAGGTTCCCACGTGGTAATCTGCTCGCACCTGTCTCATATCCTTACTATTCATAGACTTTCAGAATGTCACAGCCGGAGAAGACCTCAGGGACCATCTCATTCAATCCCTCTGCAGGATAGAGGCCTAAGGTCACACAGAGGGGGGCAGAACAGCCAGAGCCCAGTTCTTCAGATTCCCAGCCTCCACTGCTCCTAGCCATTCCTGCTTAGGCAGTGCTGAGATGTCAACCAGTAACTCAAAGCTGACTTCCTGTCTGACCTCTGACCTAAGCATCATCATCTGGAGAGTTTCCAAGTGAGTCTCTTAGGTCTTTCCTCTTTTCTTTGCCTTCCAGGAAAGACCTGAATTTTTAAAAAAGCATGTGTGTTTCTTTTCTACTTTCCTTTTTTTTCTTTTTTGACTTTCAGGTTTTATGAGTATTTTCTCTTGTAAACTTTAAGTCAATTTGAAGTGAAAGATACTGGTGAGTTCTCATTGTTGCCTTTCTTCCCAATCTTATCCCTAGGGCATGTCTTCAAAATGCTTAATTCCTATTTGCACATGGCCTGGTGACATTGCCACATCACTAACCTGCATTCTTAGTACATCAACAACATTTATCAAGTATGACATGTGTTCAGAGTGTAGAAGGACGATGTGGAAACAAGAGGTACTTAGGGTTCAAAGACCTGGGTTTGGGTCCCAGAACTCCCACAGCTTTGCTGTGAGCCTTTGAAAAAATTGTTTAACCTTCAAAACCAGGTCTCACCAACTGTAATAGGAGGATATTTGTCCTGTTTTTCTCACAAATTTGTTGTGAAGACCTAAGGATAGGCTGTCAATGAAAGCCCATTGTAAAGTGCAAAATGTAAAGTTAAGGAATTGTTATCTTATGCCAGCGCTCTCTCATGCCAGCAATTTGTGGCACACTTCCTTGTGGTGAGCCTCCTCGTACTCCCTCTGCACACGAGTCCCCTGAGGGGACCCCTGATGAAGCACTTCATCATAGTCACCTCAGTATGCCCTCAGCCAGTGCAGTGCTTATTCAGAGCACATGCTGTGTACGTACTAACCGGTTAGCACACCAAGAAGAGAGAGAATGTCCTGGCATTGGGGAATGGCTACGCTGGGGGCAGAGTGGCAGCCGGTGCACTGCCTACATTTCCCGCTGATGGAGCCCATTTTTTTTAGATGATAGGAGACCCCGGCTTCTCCTTTTTCTCCCTCTAGCCCAGCTGTTTATTTGCTTGTTGGCACCTCCAGGGCAAAGAGGAGGAAGTGAAACTCAACTCCCTCTCATTTGGTTTTTCAGCAATTTTGACGAAGGGCTTGGGGTAAGTTTGGAGATCCTGGATAACGTGAGATTTCGATATGGTTTATGATTCTAGTAATACAGATAACTGAGAGCTGACTATACGTATATACACTGAAGGCAAGAAATAAGAGATCACATACTTCTTTGGAGTGAAAGAGATGTCAGTCTCTTAATCCCTCATCCCCAAATTGGGAGGAGCTAGTGTAGTTAAGTAGCGAAGATCTCATTTTAGAAGATAGTTGAACGTGGTGAAAACTGACTTTTAAACCCCTGATGGAAAGAGAGCATTTGTGTTTCTACAGTTAGAACTCAAATTTCTCTGGTAATTGGGCAGGTCAGGCAATTAACCAAAGTCTCTATGATTTTCTTAAACACCTGTCATAATATTTAGAACATCTGACAAGCACTAGGGATAGTAGCCCCATGTTCTTAGTTCTCTGCTCTATTATACAGAAAAGTGGTACAGTAGACTCTTGTGTGATAGCTCAAAATTCACAAAACGACTGCAGCATATAATTCCCCCTTTAAAATGGAGTAAATTTTAAAATTTAACTAGTGCTGGGAGTTGACTTTGTTTGGGGGGCCATCTTCTGGTAATCACCACACTTTTATTACTTCAAGAAAAGCAATAAACTGAGCGACTTATTCCTGAATGTTGTCCTCTCAGGGCAAATAATTCACATCATGCCCAGCAATATGGCCAATAACTGCAAGTGTGGGCCCTTCCCCGATCACCGGGGAAGTACCCAAGCCTGCCCTAACTTCAGTTAGAGATAAATAGCAAGGCACGAACCTGAAAGGTGTCCACTAGTCTTCGTGACATTTTAAACAGCCAAGGAACTATTTCTGCCTAAAGTGAGCCTTGGGGAGGAGAGAGGGGTTTGCACAGTCTCTCAGGTCTTAGCAATTCCTGGGTTCTCCAACTCCTTAGGGTGCCCTGCTTTATAAGAGTGTTTCCTGCCAACAGAACCTCTCAAATGTAGCTGGACATTTGGGCTTTGCTAGGGGTGGAGCAGAAGTCTGGCATTTATCGATGAATTGGGAAGTTGAACAAAATGATCTGTTCGCAGTGTGGTCCCTAGATCAGCAGCATCAGCATTTCCTGGGAACTTGTCAGAAATGCAGGTTCTCAGGCATCCAGGCCTACTAGACAAGAAAACCAGCAAGCTGTGTTTTAAAAGCTCTCCGGGTTATTCAAATGCACACTCGAGTTTGGGAATCACTGAACTAGATAAGTAGAATCTTTTCAACTTTGGGATTGTACTATCTTTTGGAAGATTCTTAATTTCAATGTTCCAATGATGCCACCTCACTGTGATGTTAAAGCATGAGAGATCATCTTACAGTGCTGTGAGCAGAAAGGCAATGGTTTAAATTATGTTTATTTTTATATATGTATCTTAATAAACAAATATATGCTCATCTTTGAGAATTTAGAAATTATGGATGAAAGAACAAACTGACAGTTACCAGAGAGGAGGGGGGAGAGGAATAACGGGAAGGGCCATCAAGAAGCATGCATAAAAAACACAAGAACAAAGCCAAAGGGGGTAGGTTCACGGGTGGGAGGTGGGGCTGGGTGGGGTGGAGGGGGTGTGGTGGGGTGAAAAGGGAGACAACTGTACTTGAACAACAATAAAATTTTTTTCCAGAAAAAAAAGAAATTCTGGAAAAAATTTAAAAATCATCTTAAGGTAACTGCTATTAACTTTTTGGGTATTTTTTTTTTTAGTTTGTTTCTGTGCCTCTGTTTTTAATAACATTGAAATCAAATATTTTCACTTAACATTATTTTGCAAACATTTCTAGTGTTATTAAAATACATTAAATATAATTTTCAGGGGCTGAAAGTTATTCCGTTTGGGGAATCTCACGGCTGATCTAACTCTTTCCATAAATGTTGGGCTTTTAGGTAATTTCCATTTTTCTGCTATTATGAATAATATAGAAATTGACATTTTTATACATTGGTTCCTATATTCCTGGTAACCTGTGTTTTACTTAGAATAAATACCAAGAAGTATTTGAACAATTTTAAGGGTGCAGGCAAATGAACTGGATCAATGTGTATTAATATCTGTAAGGATCTTCTTGACAACATGGCTCCAAGTGCTCCCCAGAACGGCTGTACCAGTTCATCCTCTGGCCTCACTGGTTGATGTGTCCGCCTCCCCACACCCCTGACAACAGTGAATATTATAGCATCTTTAAAAGAGAAACAAATTGTGCTAATTTGGTAAGTGAAACATGACAGGACTCTCACTACTTCAATTTGAAATTCTCTCCTTTTTTCTTAATTCGTTATATTAAATATTATTTCATAGGTTTATTAGCCCATGGCATTTTTTCTGTCAATTGTCTGTTCACAGCTGCATTCCTCGTATTTCTCCTGCTGGTTTCGAAGAGCTCAGTATACATTATGGGAGTTAACCTGTTTGTTGAGATTGCTGTTGCAAACCACTGGTCCTTAGCCTTTTATTTTATTTTTTTTTAAGATTTTATTTATTTATCTTTAGAGGGGAAGGGAAAGAGAGAGAGAGAGGGAGAGAAGTATCAGTGTATGGTTGCCTCTTGAGTGTCCCCTGCTGGGAACTGGCCTGCATCCCAGGTATGTGCTCCCCTGACTGGGAATAGAACGGTGGTTGCTTGATTCCCAGGCCCACGCTCAATCCACTGAGCTACACCAGCCAGGGCTGGTCCTTAGCCTTTTAAAGATGTATATTGATTCTTGACTTGTAGAGACTTAAATCTGTTAATATTCGACTATGTCACATTTTCCTTTCTAGAAAGTCCTTGCTCACAGTGTGATTATAGTCACCTATATTTTCCTCCTAGATAATAACATTTAATTCTTTAATAGAATTAGAGTTTTTCTGTTTTGTTTCTGGAGTATAGTTTGAGGTGAGAAGTCAGTATATAATCACATTTTCCCAAACAGGCAATTTCTTGGGTAGCATATGTTAAAACAGTCCATTCCTTTCAAATTCGTTTATGATCTTCCTTTTTTCCTTCATTAGTTTTTATGTGCTAGGGTCTCCTAGGGCCCTCTTCTGTACTGTTGATTTATCTATACAATATTGTGCCAACTGTTGTGGCTTTATAGCTGTTTTAATATCTTGCGGGAAGCCCTTCCTCATAGTTCTTTCATTAAATGCCTTAGCTATTGCACTGTTTTTTTTAAGTTAAAAAACAATTGACTTTTGTTTGGGATCCCTATTTAGAGATATGTTTCTAAATTCAAATCTTTTTTATATGTGTTAAGTCTTTAAGTCTTCATTTGTTTTTATATTTCTCTTATTATGTAATATGTTAAAATGAAATAAAACCATTACTACATTTATATATATATTTATTATGTTTATTATATATTTTTATACTTTAATATCTATGATCATTGGTTTTCTCTTTTTAAAATTAGGTTTTCAAACATCTGACATGTTTAAAAAACCAGATCTATATTTTTCTTTTTTAAATTATTTAATTTCTACTTCTATATTATTTCCTTGATTCTGCTTCTTCTAAGTTTGTTTTATTTTTGTTCTAATTTTGGAATTATTATTGCTTTTTTTATCCTTTGAAAATGATGGATGCATATGAGACTCTGAATATACCTCCAAATACAACTTAAACTATATTTTCTGTTTTGAATGAGAAGCTTTAAATTTTTATTATTTTTTAAATAGTCACTAATGGTGGTTTTGATCTCTTGAACCTATTGTTCTTAGAAAATTTTAAGATCTCTGAGTAATTAAATTTTGTTTGTTTATTCACTTAATCTGTTATTTCTAGTTTTATTGCTTCATGGTGAAATAAAATAACCTTTGTAATTTCTGCTTCTGGATTTTATATAGATGTTTTTTGTAAACTAGTTTATGATCTATTAATTTATTTGTAAGCTATTGAATTATTATTTCATCCAAGTTTTATGTCATTTATTGTTTTGCTACTTGACTTCAAAGGCAGAAACAAATATTTTAAAGCCTCTCAATACCTGTATTGCTATCAACTTTTTCTGATATGTCTATTTTTTTCTTCAGAATATATATTGATACTGTTCTTCACATTATATATTTTGATTCTGTTATCAAATACCTAAGATTTTATGACCCTTACATCTCATATTTGAGTGTACTTTTTATCATGTAAAAGTGACCTTTTTATTCCACTGTATGTTTTTGGCATGTTGGAAGGTTAACTTTTCTAAAGTTAATATAATTAATAACATCATTTATTTCTTTCAAATTATCTATGCTTGATAAAAAAGATGATAAATAGATACATATGTTCTTTTGTTTTAGGTATATCTCTTATAAAAAGCATGTCATTAGAGTTTAACCCAATATGAGATTACTGTTCTTTATTAAGAGACTTGAACCTTTATAAAGGGACTACATTTTTGTCATTATTGATCTCTTTAGTCTTAACCTTTTCATCAAACTTAAAAATTTTTAAATGTGCCCTGGCTGGTGCAGCTCAGTAGATTGAGCAAAGGCCTGCAAACCGAAGGGTTCACTGGTTGAATTCCCAGTCAGGGCACATTCCTGGGTTGCAGGCCAGGTCCCCAGTAGTGGGTGAGTGAGAGGCAACCACACATTGATGTTTCTCTCCCTCTCTTTCTCCCTCTCTTCCATTCTCTCTAAAAAATAAACAAATAAAATCTTTAAAAAAAAATTTACTAGTTATTTGCTTTCTGTTTTTGCTACACTAATAAGGTTCATACATTTTAAATTCTCCCAGATTTGAAAGGTATATGCCTTGTTTTTAGTTTTACTAAGTGACTATTTAGTTACTAAATTTTTTTTCTGAGTAATATTTTTAATTATTAAAATAAAGAGATACAATAAATATTTTAGCTTATTTTTACTAGTCCTTCAATAATGTCTCCTAAATGCTTTCAGCCTTAGTTAATAGAACCTTAGGTTTGGGATCCAGGCTACTAATGTTTACACTATGTATCTTCTCTTGCAAGGAATGATTTTTGCCATCTGCATTTATTTGTATAAGTGTATTTAACAGTTTTTAAAAACTTCATTGTACTTTAACTAATTTCAATGGTTGCCAAAAGTTCTCTTGTGCTGTGATGTCCCACCATTAATCTTTTTATTCCAAACCACTTCTGTGCACCTTCGGGAAAACATTTCAGTAAGTGTGCTTCTGTTTTAATCCTTGCGAGTTTAAGAATGACTTTATATTACCTTCTGTTGTGGACTGAATTGTGTCTGCCAGTCTCCCATTTCTATGTTGAGGCCCTAACTGACCACGTGACTGTGTCTGGAGCTAGGACCTTTAAAGAGGTAATGAAAGTTAAATGAGGTCATGAAGGTAAGACTCTAATCCAGTAGCACTGGTGTCCTTACAAGAAGAGGAGGGTGCCAGAAGTGCATATGTACAGAGAAGGGACCATGAGAGGAAACAGTGAGGAGGTGGCTGTTTGTCTGCAAGTAAGGAAGAAAGGCCTCACCAGAAAGCAACCCTGCCAGCCCCTCGAAACTGAACTTCCAGCCTCCCAAACTGTGAAAAAATAAATTTCTGTTGTTTAAGCCACCTGGTCTCTGGTACTTTGTTATGGCAGCCTGAGCAGACTGCTGTACCTTTACCTACGGGTTTCCATGGATTACATACCATCAACTCACTGGGTTATGATGTTTTTCACCGTGAGTTGCAGTCTCTCAGGAGCGGTGTGGACAGAGGGTGGAGGTAGGGCCTGGAGAAGTATTTGGCTATTTCAAAAACCGGTGCTTGGGTTTCAGGGAATGGTAGCCCAGTTTTCACTGAACCAGGTGGGACAGGGTTTGATTTCTTCCAGGTTTTAATTTTTTTTTTTTTGAGACAGGAGGAGCTTGGATAGATTTTTTTCAGTTCGGCTCCATCAAAATCATAAGTAGTAGAAATTTCCCCCCTCTGGTCTAATTCTAACAAGGTGGTAAGCCATTATTAGTTTTTGGTATAGCGTGTTTTCTTTTTCTCAGTCTTCATAGAGACATGAGATTGAGGTAAGATTTTTCAGAAAAATTTCTGCTTTTTATGGAAGATGCCATCACTACATTCTGTCTCTAGGAGCCAGTTCTATGCTTTGCAGAAGTTACATGGAACAAAGAGTTATAGAAACACACCTGCAGCTTAGGCCCACTAAAATCTCATGGAGACCCTTTTCATGTAGAAGACCACTTGATGTTCTCTGAAGGGCTCAAAATAGCAGGTTATTGAGGTATCTGAATACTCCACCAGGGCGAGAAAGCTTAGAAACATTACTTTGGTCTTTTGAGATCTGTACACTGAAGACACTATAGAGAATATCACTAATGTAATATCCTCATGAACACCCTGGGCCCTGAACACCAGGATAATGGTCTCTCTTCACCACCGAGTTTCTAGCTGGGTTTCCAACAGAGAAGCAACTAAGAAGAAAGGATGCATGGCTCCTGTAGTAGTGCTAGTGGAGAGCTAACATGAGTACGATGAGTCAGGGGGTTAGGACGTCCCCTTTGTTTATGTTTGTTCATTTGTTCAGTCTTTGGTCACTGTTCAACAAGTATTATTGTGTAACTATCAGAAAAGCAGGCACAGTGGTAGGTGCTGGGTAGACACCATAAACAAAATAGACAACTCATGTGGTTACTCTTTCAGTGGTTTTTCAGATAGGTCCTCGGGGCTGTGGTACTCCCAGGGTGACTGTGTCCATGCACTGTGGGAATTCTCCCCCAGGAACTCCCACGGGTGACTGGTTGGAAGTTGTAGGTTAAGTGTGCAGATCTCAATTCCATATAAAGAAGCCCTTCCTAATAATGAGACTTGTTCATCAGCAGAACAGTCTTCCTTTTGGAACGGTAAGTTCCCTGTCGCTGGAATGATTCAAGCTGAGGCTCTCAAGGATACTGTAGATGAAGTCTCAGAAGAATTAAGAATTCTTTGAAGATGGGTCCACTTCTCATTTTGGAACTGGTGCCTCACAGTTTGGCACATAGCACATGTTCAATGAAAGGTCGGCAGGTAAAAGAATGGATGGATGAATAAAGTGGAAGGGGGTTGCAATGGATGATTTCTCAAAGCTCGTGCAACTCTGAGATTCAGCAATTTCATATTAAGTCATTGCTCCAAAAGGACCCAAAATAAAGCTACCCACCCTCAGCTCAAAGATTGGCAAACTTACTGTGCAAGGTGGCTGCATCCAGGGCTCTCCGTCCACTTGCATCGGCAGCAGCTTGTTTGTCCTGGAACCCCGAGAACCGAGATAACACAGTGAGCTTCTTGGAGTCAGAGAATCGGGGTTGTCCCTTCCAGGGAAACAGAAGTGGGAAGACCTTATCTGCCCAGCTAGGAGTGGTTCTCCAAGATTCTCCTGGGGGATTGTTAAAAACAGATTCCTGAACCCACCCAAAGATATTGACTCACCAAGTCCAGGAGTCTGCATTTTGATAAGTACTATGGGTGATTCTGTAGCTTTGGTTCTCAGACCCTACTCTGAGAAACACAACCCTGGCTGAGCAGAGAAGTCCACAGAAGCCTGGGATACAGTGGCCAGCAAGTATGGCAGCACTACTGCTGAGCAGACCCTCAGTCAAGCAATCAGCTGGAAGGTGTGCAGATGACGCCAGAAACTTCACTTTGAAATGGGAAAGGTTATGAAATGGGAAAAAGCCTGGTTTCCATGTCGTGTGAGATTTTGCATCATATCAATGATATAATGTCTCCAACCTGTATAAAGGATAGATCAGGTGTGAGTGTGTCTTGCCCCAGATCCTAACCATTCCCTCTTGTACCTCTTGAACAGCACTGCACTCTGTGGTTGCATGAACCGTGGACTTGGCTTAGCTGGGAAATAAGGTCATTGGGAATATTGTCCCCATTGGCAGGAGGAGAGAACGTGTCCTTTCTTGCTTGGGACCAAGTTTCTCTGGCATACGGATTGTTAAAAGGAGAGACACGAGGTCTTCTTACTCTCTTGGGTTGAAGAGTTGTGAACTGGTACTACATCGGCTTCAGGAGAAAAGGCAGGTCCTTTCAGAAGCCTCTGGTCTGGGTGAGCAGGGAACAAATCCTACCCACTGGCCAGAAAGCCCTCACCTGGCAACTTCCCTGTTTTTGAAATTATAGAACAAAGGAGGCAAGTTGTGTTTTAATGCAGATGATTCTCTGACTGACCCTGGGGATAGTTAATTATTAAAAAACAATAAACCGAACAACAGAACAAATAAGAAGAGGAGAGAGTGGATTTTTGTTCTAGGGACTGGGAGAGTATCTGGAAAACACCCAGGAGGATGAGGCTCCTGGCTCACCCTCTCTGTTTCTATCTGGCAACGGGTCCACTGAATAGAAAGATAAATCCCTCCCTCTTTTAGAGGCTGTGTTTTTTATTCTTCCAGGATCAAGATGTTACATTCTCTGTGATCTATTTAAGTTATAGCTTAGATGTATAGCTGACTAGGCCTACTCAGTGTTAGGGTCATGGAGACTGGGCGGGGAAGGGAGTACAGAGATTAGTCTGGAAAACAGGGGCCCCAGCCGAGCAGCATCCCAGAGAGAAAGAGGAGCAAAGCTCTGGGGGAGTAATAGGAAAGACAGAGAAGCTACAGAGAAAGAATGATGCAAAGGGGCTAGTGGGATAGACCTTCACTAAGAGACACTGGTGAACAAGCCCAGGGGATCATTCTGTGGGATGCAGGGGCATGTGAAGAGCAGTTTCTCTAAATGTGCTCTGAGGTCACTTGCCCAAGAAAGGGGTCTGTGGTCAAATAGCTTTGGAAGACCTGCATGCTGTGGTCCCTTCTAGGAGACCCCCAAGGCATGTCAATAGATTGGACCTGTGGAAATTGAATGGAATAGGGAAAGGAATAAAGACTTCTGAAATAATCAGGTGGAGAAGAATCTGATTAGTTGCATTGATGAAACAGAAGCAACTGAAATCAGAGGATCCTCCCCTTTAGGCTCCTTTCCTTCCAGGGGCCTGCAGTGGCTGACCTGTGTGGTCCATACCCTGAAGAGTCATCATCCTCCTAACCAGTTAGGATGGGTTTCCTGCTGTGGGTGGTTTAGCGCTACAAAGACATATAGGAAATAAATAGTGTTGCTAAGGCCATTATCCAAAAAAGAGCAGAGCAGAAAACCTGGTTTTTGTCAGAGTGTGCCCTCTGGCATACATCTAATGTTTTAATTTGTAAAGATTAAAAAGGCAAGGAGTCTCAGGAATCCTGTTTAGAGAACTTTACCAATTCATTCTAAAATTAACAGCAACCTGGTTACAGTGGTCCCACTAGTTTATGTCCTGGGTGATGGCATTATATCCAGTTTAGGAAATGGTCTCCAAAGAAAGACATTCTTTATAAGAAGCATCGCCAAGCTTCTGCCTCCCCCACCCCCGACCCCAACCGTGCTTCCTGCATTCAAATCTAAGAAGGCTGGGGGACGTGGAGGCTGCTGGGTAGTGAGGAGGCATACCTGATGGTGACGGAGGAGCACTGGGCCAGCCTCCGGCCCGCACTCTTCAGGCCGGTGTAGATCTGCCCCATTTCCATGGCTCCCTCCAGCCCCACCACTTCAAGCAGCTGGTCACTGAGGTCTGCAGATGAGACAAGCAAAAGCAGCACACACACACCTCTGTGTTCCTCAGGCAGGTTTTGGTCAGAAGGTCTGGTCGCTAGTGGCCAACCCAGACCTGTTTATATCTCTTCATCTCCCACCATGCAGCATTTTCATACTCATGCTGAATAGGGAATTTCATCAAAGGCCATTACATGTATCTTTTCATGAACAGAAAGCCAGTTCTAGTGCAAAAAAAGGTTATGATTCAGAACATTAATATGCACCTAATGGGTAGGTTGGCATATCAAGAACTTCTTCAAAGGTGGAGTAACATAAATGATGAACCCTCTGTTTCCGAAATTATTTTCAAGCTAAAAACACATTGGCTTAGGATGAATATAGGAAGGAATGTTGATGAAGTGGTCGTTATCCATAGCTGGACCAAGTTTCTCTTCTCTGAATGTCTGAATAACATCTTGGCCCTCCGATGATGCCTGATGCAGCTCTGGCCTGTGGCGAGCTGGTGGTGAGCCAGTCTCCTTGGACATCCTTGGGGAAATCAATGACCTCCTTCAGGACACCAGGTGCCCCATGCAGGCCAAGGAAAAGAATATTTCACCTACACCAGATTATTCTGTGTCAGCAGCAGGAAAATAGGAACAGAAAATTCTCTGGCCCAGAGTCACATAGTATTGGCGGCCTCCCACAGAGGCGGTTCCCTCTGATTCAGCCCCTGGAAGGTGCCCTTCTCCTTAAAGTCCCTGAGGCTTAGACTGTGCCTGCTCAATTTCTTGTGAGAGCAATAGCAGGATTAAGATTCAATGTTGGGCCCAAGACTCACTTTTACAGCACAATTTTTATTTATTTAAAACAGAAGCAAAATAAAAGTCAGATTCTTTAAAAGCCTCAATTCCTTTGGCTACTAGGACAAACGTAGGTACTTTTTCTCATAGGTTGTAGTTAATCACTAACATCCTATTAATATTCGCAAACTAGAAAATTGTGTCTATGTAAATGTTTTTTTAACAGATAGTTTCTGTCTTCTTAGGAACCTCCTGATATGTTATAATAGTGTTTATTAGCACTGGCAAGTAGGTATTTGGGTTTGTTTCTACTTCTTTTTGTTTCAAAGACTATTGGGTTTGTTTTTACTTTTTTTGTTTATTTAAAAAACATTCTCTTGATGGATGTATTTCTAGTGAAGGCAGTTAAACAAACCACTGGGCTGACCACGAATGGGTCAACATTGCTAATGTCTAATTTACTGTGGTCCCTGATGAACATCGACTGCCAACAGATCCAGAAACTACAACAGTCTTTCTGTGGCAGGTACATAGCTTTCCCCCCTCCATACATTGACATTCCTATTCTTCTCTGGTACTCTTCTTTTTTTCACATCTGTGAAAAGATGTTGTCTCCTTAAAGCCTCCATCTCATTTGGACTTGGAACAAGAAGTCATGAAAGGGCAATGTTTGTTTAGGAGAATGCTCCAGGCTCTCCCAAGGACTTGACTTCCAATAAACAACACATGTCTGAACCTCCAGTCACTTAATTAGTTCCCTTCTTACCAAAGAGCGTTAAATAGGCATTGGATACTCCTAGTTTACTGTGTCATTTCAACAGTGTCTGTGAAATCAACATGGGGGAGAGAGGGAGAGAGAGAAAGGAGGAGGAGGAGGAGGCAGAGAAGGAGGAGAAAGAAAGAGGAGGACAAGGAGAGAAGAGAGAAATATATAGAGTGTCTAGGGGTGAGGAGTTAGTTATACTGAGGTAGAAGAAAGGAGGAGAAAAAAGAAGCAGAACTTGAAAGTTTCTCTAGTAGCAGAGACAGACAGATGTCTTATAAAGTGTTGCTCTTTGTAGCGGCTTTGGTAACTGGCAGAGCTGTGGTAGTTCAATGCTTTCCTTCTTTGAAACATTCCCTGGTAACAAAATGTTCTAAGAAGCAGAGGACTTAATGGACTCAAGTTTTTCCAGCTTTTACAATGCCTTGGTCTCTTAGCAAATTTTCCTGTTGAATGGCTTTAACTCTAAAGTTGTTATCACTTCCCACACATTACCTTGCAGTTATCACTTCCCACACATTACCTTGCTTCCTGGCTCTAGAAGAGAAGTAATGAAGGCTGATCTCATCAGCATGGTGGGTGTGTGGGGGGTAGGGGCTTGCACAAATGTGGGACTGAGGAGATAAATGTAGGAGCTAGGCTATTTGTACACTTTTCTGCTGTTCTGCCTTTGAATTTGTGCTCCGAATAGTCTGGCATGAAGGGGCTAGGGTGACTCCTGTCCACTGTTGAAGAAAGACTCTGCTGCTCCTCTCCTTCTCCACCATTGCTCAACTGATTTTTCTTTCAACTTCCTAAATACAATGCCTAACAGGAAGCTTGGAGGTAAAGAAACCTACGGTATTTATCTCTGTTTCCCAAAACTTACTGGACCACGAGACTCTTCTTTTGTGTGATACCTATAAACTGTCCGTGGTAGTTTTCTTTGGGACATATTTTAGGAAATTCTGGCATCACTGAATTCCTTTTACTCTTTCTAGCACAGAGATACTTAAGCACAAATTAAATTTGGTATTAAAATGAAACAGAACAGAGCGCAAGTCAATGACCAGGCACACAAAACAACTAAATGTTCCAAACTTAGAATCCAGGAACAGGACAACTGGTATACCAGGTTTTTACTTTAGGTACCAATGATTCAGAGTGTGGTTTTGGCAATTCATACCTCAGTATTGTCTTCACACTCTTCACCTTATTAGTATTTAAGATGAAATGTGCATGTACCTTAGTAAAGCAGAAATTAATTTATTCACTCATCTATTCATTCAACAGTTACTGAGTAGCAAACAACTGCTAAGCACTCTGTTAAGAACTACGAATACAAAATATTTTAGTTTTGAAGGCTTTTTAGCCAAAAGGGAGAAAAGGGTTAGGTGGAGAAAATGCTGTAATTGAACAATAGGAGCAAGGAGGCCTGGGTAATGGATTTTGACTGGCCAAGGTGTGGAAGGCAGTGTAGTCTGGAGCAGCAGCCGCAGCATCACCTGGGAACTTGTTAGAAATGCAAATGCTCAGGCCCCTCCCCAGACTCATTGAGCCAGCAACTCTGGGGCTGTGCCCAATAGTCTCTGTCCTAACAAGCCCTCTGGGAGATCTTCAGGCATGCTCAAGTTGCCCCAGACATGTGCAGGAGTTGGCAGGGAAAGGAACATCAACAAGTTACTTCCTAATTGCTTTGATCTAGAGCTTCCTCACTTGAAAATTAGGAATTAGGAGTAAAACACTGACCTCAAAGTATGGTTATTTGATTAAATGGTGGAGCTGTACAGGAAAGAGTGGGCAGTAAAAATATATTAGTTTCACTTTCCTTTTCTGCCACATCCATTCTGATTACTGGCAACAATCTCTAATTGTCTATCTATCTTCTAAGAGCTGTAAACAAGAGGCCCCAAACCAAAATATTTGGGCTAAAACATTAAAGAAAAAAGTCTTCCGTGTTCCTCATAGTTTCATATATTCAGAGAGGCTGCAAATCCAGGTGAGCTTTAGATTAGGTGGACATCCTGCTCAGTCTATTTTTTTCCTCCTCTAATCTCTTCCCAGATTCTGCTCCTTTGCCTGCTTCTTTGATCTCAACAGCCCTGTTTTGCTTTTATGGTTTTAGTCCTCCTCACTGTCTGGAGGAGGGGCTGGAGCTCAACACTGACAGGTAAGGGCTGGCAGAGCTCTTATAGTCAGCAGGCACATCCGACCTATTCCCTCCCCTCTTAAGACTCTTCGGTGGCTCTGGAAGTCCAAAGGACAATGTCTTAGTTCCTTAGCCCAGTGTGCAAGATTATTTACTGTCTAGCCCTGTTCCCTGTACAGGTATTCCTCTGGCTGGAGAAGTCCCCTTTACCCTCCCAGGATACCCAGGGCACCATGCTTCTTCCTTCGCCTGTGCTCAGGTGGTGGATCTCACCCACAACAATTGTTTCTAGTCATCCCACTCTCCCAAATCCACTGAAAGTTGTAGGCAGGGCTGTGTTCTTTTTTATTTCTTTGTATCCCTAACAACTAGCTCAGCTCCAATAAATGTTTATTGAACAAACTAAAGATACATGCTTTAGTGTCAAAAACCTTGACAGGTTTGGCCTAAAAGAGGTAAAGATAATGATTACTAATTAATAATAATAATGATAACTATTTGCCTTGACTGAACCGAGTAATAAGCTTTCTTCCGTGAATTAATTTATTTAATCTGCATATAACACATAATGGTGACCCAGGCTGGTTTTGCCTCTCTCCCTGAATTCATAATGTTTCTCTTCATTCTAATCTTGGCTGCTGGTTCACATTATGAAAACTGTCATTTAAGATGCAAGGGAAACATGGCTACCCTCAGTCCAACTTCCACCCGGTTTCCCTCTCTATCAGCGCTCCGGGATTTAGGTCTGAGGGCTGCGGTGGGCCAGCCCAGGAAGCCCAGCAACTGTCAGTGGGGGTGCTGAAACCCTGACCATGTGGTAGCACTGGAGTTTCTGAACCATCCCACTACAGTGTTGAGGCAGCACGCTCTCTACCCTCGGGCAGCTCTGTCACACCTGCGGGCATGGTCCCTTCACCTGGGTTACAGGGGTACAGGTAAACTGAGATGTTAGGTGTCATTGCTTTGGGCTGGAATCGTAACAGTTTGGCGGGCAATACTAGTTAGCCAACACTGATCTGAAGCTCTTAGGGGCAGGAGTGTGTGCCAGACTCTATGAAATTTGCCATAGATATCTTGATAGGAATTGTGTTGAATCTATAGGTAGTTGTAGGTAGTATGGACATTTTAATGATGTTAATTCTTCCTGTCCATGAGCACTATGTGTTTCTACTTATTCTGGAGTTGTATCTTCTTCAGTTTTTCTTCAGTGCCTTATAATCTTCTGACTACAGGTCTTTTACATTATTGGTTGTTTATTCTAAGGTATTTTATTAATTTTTTAATGCAATGGTAAATGGGATTGTTTTCTTAGTTTCCTTTTTCTGACATTATTGGTGTATAAA